AGGACGGGGGCCGCCTGGTGGATAGGCGCCCCACCTGCAAGGCCCCACTGCCCTCGGGCCTCACACCTCAGAGGTCCTAGCCACCTTCACCTTGGCCGTACCTCCACAGGACAACCACTACAGCAGTTACCCTTTTTCCTTGTTCATCAACCCAACATTTTTTACTTAATCTATTACATTTTCCTTGACAATTTTTGTTTTGTTTTGTTTTCATTGGTTTTCCTTTTTCCTTCAGGACTTGGGGACCATGAGAACATTTTATTTTGAAAGGCAACCTTATAATTTGACCGTAGGTGGAAAGACAGGACTACTTGCCAGAAGTCATATGCAAGGAAGGAAAATTGTAAATAGACTATGCCATTTCCCCAAGGCCTGTTTCGTGTTCTTAAAAGGAAAGTGGACTACCAAGGGTTAAAGAGAATAGTAAAGACAGCTGCACTAGCAGATATTCTCTTTGTCATAATTGGAAGAGACCCTAAAAGGCAATAATGTTCTCACGTGAGCTGGTGGCCCATGAATCATTCTGCATTCCACCAGCGGAGATGGTCCCATCTCTGAGGATTGTGCCTAGAGTCCCTAAAACGTGGCCATGCACGGACGGAGAGGAACTCACTGCAGCACCGAGCTCAGGGAGGACAAGGCCCAGAGCACAAGCCACTCGTCCCCACTCCCCTTGCCTTGTAAGAGAGCCACCAAGAGTCGTGAGGGACATGGAGACACACAACACTTCAAACATCTTCCATAGCTCTAATCTCTCTACTTGGACCTAAAAACACATTACTGGGGCTAAGGTGTTCTGTGGCCACCGGGAAAGCAGTGCTGTGCCAGGCTGCAGGTGGCAGGCCAGAGAAAGCTACCTGGTCTCTGCTCTGGGGCTTCATTGAAGAGGGTAGGTGGGCTGGGTTGGTCTTGATGACTGGAGATTGAAGCTGTTTGCCTAGCCCCAGAGCAGAGGGAGGAGTGAACAGGGATGTGGGCTGCAGCTGGTTTAAGGAGGAACTTTCTAATGGGGCTGCTCATGAGTAATGCACCATCCTTAAGTGAAGAGACCTTTGTCCTTGAACCTGCTGAGGCCCAGGGCAGCTAAAGGGAGGTCCTGCAGTAGGTAGGAGGCAGGCATGTACCCAGCTCTGGACTAGTCTGTGCTTTTCTTGACTGGCACCATAGGGAACTCCCAACTCACAAAAAAGGTTGTTCTACAAGGTCACGAGATACAAGGTCAACATGCAAAAGTCACTTGCTACCAACAAACAACCCAAAAATGAAAGTAAGAAAATTCCATGCACCATAGAATAGCATCCAAAGACTAAAATGCTTTGAAATAAATAACAAAAGAAATGCAAGACATTCTGAAAACTATAAAACATTGAGAAAATTAGAAAGACAAAAATAAATGGAGAGACCTTTCATGTTCATGAATAGGAAGACTCAATATTGTAAAGACAGAAGTTCTTCACAAATTGGTCTATAGAGTCACACAATCCTGACCAGAATCCCAGTTGGAAAAATGATGAGCTGATCCTGAAATTTATATAGAAATGTAAATGACCCAGAATAGACAAAAGCAATTTTGAAAAAGAACAGAGTGGACGCCTTGTAGTCCCAATTTCAAAACTGTCTATAAAGTCATACAACATAAGGCAGTGTGGTACTGAGATTTCAATAGGATCAAAAGAACAGAATGGAGAGTTCAGAAACAAACCTTCATATTTATGGTCAACTAATTGCAGACAAAGGCAAATTCAATGGATTGATAGTTTGTTCAACAGGTGGTGCTGGGACAACAGGATAGTCACATGCAAAAGAATACAGTTGGACCCTTCACACCAAGTACAAAATGAACTCAAAACGGATCAAAGAACCTAAATGTTAAGAGCTAAAGCTGTACCACTACTGAAAGAAAACATAAGAGAAAAATTTTGTGACCTTGGATGAGGCAGAGATTTCTTACATATAACATCAAAAACAGGATCTATTAAAAAGAAGCTCATCAATTGGACTTAATCAGAATTGAAAACTACCCTTCAAAAGACGCACAAAATGAAAAAGACACACTATAGATTGGGAGAAAATGTTTGTGAAGCAGATATCTGATAAAGAACTTGTATCTGGAACATATAAACCAGTAGTGCCCCACTTTTTTGGCATCAGGGATTGGTTTTGCAGAAGACACTTTTTCCACAGACTGGGGTTGGGGCATGGTTTTGGGATGATTCAGATGCAAGACATTTATTGTGTTATTTCTATTTCTACTTTATTTCTATTATTATATTATAATATATAATACACAACAAACTCACCCCCCCAAAAAAAACAGAGGTGGGCCACGTGTGCACTAAAATAAGTGTCAGATTCTGACTTAAACCCTGCCACCAAACGCAGCTGTACAACTGAAGTACATCGACTCACTTGCCACTCACTGATATGGTTTTGAGTGAATCTATAAGCAACTGACTTATTATGGTCTCTGTGCAGTCAAACCTCACTGCTAATTTTAATCTGTATTGGAGCCACTCCCCAGCGCTAGCATCACCGCCTCAGTTCTACCTCGGATCACCAGGTGTTAGATTCTCATAAGAAATGCACAACCTAGATCCTTGCATGTGCAGTTCACAATAGGGTTTGCACACCTGCGAGAATCTAATACCACTGTAGGTCTGACAGGAGGTGGAGCTCAGGTGGAAATGTGAGCAATGAGGACCAGTTGTAAATACAGAGGAAGCTTCACTCACTTGCCCACTACTCACCTCCTACTGTGCAGCCTGGACCAGTTACTGGTCCGTAGCAGGGGGTGGGGGACCCCTGATACAAAGAACTCTTACAACTCACAGAGAAAAACCAGAGAACCCAATTTTTAAAATGGGAAAAAGGTCTGAACAGACATTTCTCCAAGAAACTATATAAATGACAAAAGTCCAATAAGACACAAAATTAGCAACATCAGCAACCTGGGGCTCCTAGGTGGCCATTTTAAGCCAGCCAGACAGAGAACCATGGGAACCATGGGAAGAACCACAGATTTGGGAACCCTTTGCTCACAGAATGGAAAGTAAGAATGATGATTATGTGTGTGTGTGTGTGTGTGTGTGTGTGTGTGTGTGTGTAAGTGTGTATGTATGCAAATCAAAACCACAGTGAGATAGCACTTCATACCTGTCAGGCTGGTTGCAATAAAAAAACAGTAATGTGTTGACAAGGATGTGGAGAAACTGGAACACTCATTTTCTGCTGGTGGGAATATGAAACAGTGAATATCCACTTTAGAAAACTGAGAGGCAGTTTCTTAAAAAGTTAAACCAACTTTTGTTTCACCCAATAATTCTACTTCCATGAAACAAGTCCTCCACAGACACTCTCATGCTATCCTGGGTTGATGTGTGCAGATGTGAGTGGAAGAGAATGAAGACAAAGTGACCAGGGCAGGGAGGATGGGGCTGGCTGTCCTGGGACGCCTAGGTGGCCATTTTAAGTCAGACAGACATAGATCTATGGGAACCATGGAAAGAAGCACAGATTTGGGAACCCTTTTCTCAGAATGGAAAGTAAGAATGATAGTTACGAGTGTGTGAGTGTGTGTGAGTGTGTGTGAGAGTGTGTGTGTGTGTGTGTGTGTGTGTGTGTGTGTGTGTGAATAGTAGTGGTCTCCCATCCCCCCTTTTGTCCCATTTTATATAAGAAAATGGGAGACACCTCTACCTCCCCTTCTTTTTCTAATTTAGAAATGACCTCCTATATTTGCAGACTGCCACACACCCATCTGCAGCTGCATCAGGCACATGTGGGGAGGGTTCTCCCTGCCTTTAGGCCCAGGGCTGGGAGGGGATGGGGCAGCCTCACTAGGCCTGTGGCCCTAAGGGTCAAAGACAGGAGTCGCTTCACCCTTCCCTTTCCCAGCCCTCTTCGAGTTCAACTGGTGACCATGCCTTTCTGGCTTGTAGGTCAGCCCATCTTGATTCTCTTCCTACCTGGCACATCTCTTGCCCCCTCGGACTTGCCTTCCTCACTGCTGCCCAAGTGACTTTTCTAAAACACAGAGCCAATCATGCCACTTGCTGACTTGAAGTCCTTTGATGGTTCCCTCCTGCCTGCAGGGTGATGCATGGGTCCCAAGTCCCTACCTCTTCCTCCTGTTCTCTCGTCCCTGCCCTTGCCCCCCACTTCTCAAGGCTGCAGGATCCCTCATCTCTGCCCTTCCTGGCTCCATGTGTGTCTCTCACTCCAGTTCTGCTGAGCTTCTGCCGGCCTGCTGGGTAGCCTTCTCTCTGCGTTTCTGGGGGAAGGACGTGTGGCAAGATCCCCACACAGGGGCTTCATCATGTTTGTTGGGTTAGGTGACCGTCAAGACCACTGTCAGCTATCAGCCCCCCCGCCCATGCCTCAAGCAAACCCACACACAGCACAGGCCCAATACGGGCTGCAGGGCACGTGTTCCTGCCACACAGGTGTGAGGGAGCCACAGCTGCAAGCACAGGTTCTGGCCCCACCATCGACCAGCTCCACACTGCAAAGCCTTGGGCTGCATCTGTAAGATGCAGTAATAAAAGCTCAGAGCCCCAAGTGTCCTGAAGGTCAGAGCACTAACAAAAGAAACACACATGGACACACATGGGTTGGCTCCGGGGGTGGTGGTGTAAGGCGAGTGCTAGGAGGGGCTGGTCACCAGGAACAGCCAAGTCTTGCAGGGTCTGGGGGTGGAGGATATGTTAGGATCAGCAGAGCAAAAACGTGGTTAAGACCCCAGAGAAGCAACAACATGAGCCCCTCCCTTGGGCCCAAGGCCTCCAGGCCTGACACAGAGTCACCAAGGCTGGTAGAGGGCCCTGTGTCACGGCACCTCCTTCCCCTTCCCAATCTCCCCCAGGGGGTTCACTAAGCCCTGCCTCCTTCAGCCATCTCATACCACTCATCCTCACCCTCCCTCCCAGGGAGGGCCCTCCA